GAAATGTATTTTTTAACTTAAAAGATATAGCAGACGGCAGGGCGCTTGCCTCGAATGGAGCCGACCCAGGTTTGATCCCTGGCATCCCATAAGGTCTCCAAAGCCCACTAGGAGTGACTCCTAAGTGCAGACCTAGGAGTAAACTCTGAGTACTGATGAGCGTCGGCCCCAAAATAAAAAACAAAGTTTTTTTTTAGAGACTTTCTACATTCTTGCCAAATTTATTCCTACTTCCCTTTGTTCTGAGTGTGCTGTGAACATGTGCACACTACTGGGATCAAGCCTGGTCCTCACACATAAAAAGCACGTACTGTGCCACGAAGACACATCCCCATTCTGCTTCCGTTGCTCTGTGTGTGTGTGTTGGGGGCAGCTAGGAGAAGAGGAAAGCCTGGGACACACCAGTGGTGCTCAGGAGTCATTTTTAAACAGTACTCACAAAACATACTCGGGTCAAACTGGAGTCAGCCACATGTAAGGGCAGAGCCAGTGCCTTGCCTCCCGTAATATCTCTTCAACCCTTTGCGGCTTTTGTTGCTGCTATTGTTTGTGTTTTCTACAAACACAATGTAGTGTTCTGCATTTAATTCCTGGCACCACATGGTCCCCACAGCATTACTGCAAACAGGTTATACTTCTATAGTGGGGGACCAAAGAGAGTGCCATGGGCCGAGTATGCACTTGACAGGCCAGAGGCCTGGGCCCCATCTCTGACACTGAATCATTCTCAGAGCACGGCTGAGAGAACAGAGAAACAAAATATGATACTATTCAGATTGCCAATGATTTTAACCTAATTCACAGAACAGGTGAAGATAAACATTAGGAAAATCAAAGCTTATGTCTATTAAAAAAAAAAAGGCAGGGAGAAGCCAGAGTGATAATATACAGGGTACGGCACTTGTTGCTGCACACGGCCGAACCGGGTTCAATCCCAGGAACCCCATTTCCTGAGTACTGCCAGGAGTGTTCCCTAAGTGAAAAGTTAGGAGTAAGCCCTAAACACCTCCAGGTGTGAGGAGGAGGAGGGATGTAGGGAGGGAGGGAGACGGGCAGGGGCAATCTTGGAAACAAAGATATTCCCCACCAGTGAAGGACAACTGGGCTAACTTGTTGCCAGATCACCAGCTGACGTTCAAGGCTATAATGAGAAGGGCATTCTAGAAAGAAGAAATTATACTGAGACCAAAGAGATAGTACAGGGGTTAAGGCACTTGCCTTGCACTCAGCTGATCCTAAATTAGATCTTGGTACTGCAAAGTTTCCTGCTGTCCACATAATTTCTAAATGTGAAGCCATTTTTAAATAATACTGGAAAAAATAATCAGGGAAGTAATTCCCTCAGCAAGTGGAATGAGTTAAAAATTAAAAAGGAAAAGAGAGGTGGGAAGTCCTACCAATTTGGGGGTGGAGGGAGAACAGACTACCTATATTCAATTGTTCAGTACACTGAACAATCTTCAATGTATTTTTTTCTTATAGCAATTACTTCTTAAAAATACAATAGCCCAGGAGTAAAAATTATAGGTACAACAAAAAGGGGGTGGAGGACATAAAAAGTCTCAAGAAACTCCTTTTTTTAAAAAAAGTTATTTACCTAGGATACTTAATTCCAACATTTTTTAACTTAAACTAAGCTAAAAGCCCATTTTTGTGTGGAACCACATAAAGCTTTGAGGCTTTTGAGAAGGAAAGTGCATAATAAAAGCAAGTATAGAGCTAAGGATGCATTTTAGAGTCAAGTTCTTGTCTTGCATTATGTGAGGCCCTTGGTTCAATTCTTGGCACCAAAAAAAGGTCAAGTACTTAAAAAAAAAAAGAAAACTGAAATGCAGGATTTTCACAGTAGAAGAAACCAGTTATTCAATAATAAAGCTTGAATGAAACTGCTTTATTTCTAAAACGGAATACATGGAAATTAACCGGTTGTGAAAAAAGTCCTAGTTTTTTCATAATTAGATATTTCATAACACCCACTATAGTTTCCATAACTCTTCAAATTTACTTTCCAACCCACGTTGCTGTTTTCTGTGCTTTACTGAAAATCCAGATTTCCTAACTTCTTTATACTGCCTTCCACTTCCTTTCCTACCTTCAAGTTAATCACCTTTCAGTGCAAGCAGTTTTTTTCTCACCTTATCACCTACTTAAAGTAACTTTCCAAGGTCATTACATTTCTCATTGTTAATTCTAAGTTCACTTTTCAATTATTTTCTCTGACACTTTTTAACACTAATCATTCTAGCTTTTCCTAGGTCACTTGGCCATCTTCTGTACAAGCCCTCCCAGATCCCAAATGGACACAGATGTCTAACACGTCCCCACAGCATTACACCCTATCAAAATTAGTTTCATTCTTTCTGAATATATCACTTTGTCTGCCAGGTATTACAAATTACCTGAAGCAGGATTTTATCTTTACCTATTATTATGGGGTTCAGCTTATGGGTATCCCAAACAATACTCAGGGGAAGCTGGGGCTGGGGTCAGTAGGTTCACCCTGGTGGTGTGTGGAGGCCCATAAAACACAGGGACTCGGGGCTGGAGCGATTAGCACAGCGGGTAGGGCAATTGACTTGCACACGGTCGACCCGGGTTCAATTTCCAGCATCTCATATGGTCCCCTGAGCACGCCCAGGAATGATTCCTGAGTGCAGAGCCAGGAGTGACCCCTGAGCATCGCCAGGTATGACCCAAAAAGAAGAAGACAAAAACAAAAACAAAAACCCACAGGGACTCAAACCTGGGGCCTTCACAGACCAGTCTTTGAATATCCCCAGTCCCAGGCGTTATGCTTTTCTCATTTTCTATTATGTTTCTAACATGTAGGACAGTGCCTGCTGTGTTGAAACAATGCATTCTTCATTATCAGTTAGAACTGCAAGCAAACTTTACACTGCAAATCTCATGATTTTTAATTCTAATTTGTTGACTGTGTTACACTATACCAAGGTCACTGAGAAAGTTACGGATTTGCAAACAGCTTTCAGTATTCAAATTCTATTTAAGATTTAAATTATGGAAGGGCTGAAAGAGCAGTGGAAGACCAAAGAAAAGAAAAACTTTGTATGACCTACAACACATTAAATTCCAGTAATATTCTACAGAGATATTTATAATTAATACAAAATGAAGGCCAACTGGCAAAGAATATATTAATGAATAAAAATGGTCCAAAAAATGGGGCCAGACAACAGAGTACAGGCACTTGCCAACCTGGGTTCAATCCCCAGCACCATAAATGCCACCCCTCCCCCCCCCCACCGCCTAAAGTGATCCATGAGTACAAAGACCTGAGCACTACTTGCGGTGGCTCTAAAACAAAACACAACAAAACAAAACAAAAAGGCCAAAACATTCGTTTACTTCATAGCAACAGTCATACTGACTGACTCTTTAAACACTCAAGATTATGATTTCTCATTACACTCTTGAAAAATCAAACAAAAACAATTCTTAAGCTGGAAGAGAATTTAAAAGAACACCATGTGTACGTGGAGGGAGGTGGGAGCAGGGCTTGCTGGGGATCAAATGATGGCTTTACGTATGCAACATAAGCGCTCTACTTCTGGGTCACATGCCCAGCCCTTTTTTAATGGTCATATTCAACTCATTTGAAAGATAAAACTGAGGCCTAGGTAAGAGTAATCTACTGCCCAAAATCAAAAAGCTATTTTTTTCCCCCTATTTGAGTCACACCCCGCAATGCAAAGGGGTTACTCCTGGCTCATGAACTCAAGAATTACTTCCAGTGGTGCTCGAGGAACCATATGGGATGCTGGGAATCGAACCCTGGTCGGGTACGTGCAAGGCAAACGCCCTAACCGCTATGCTATCACTCCAGCCCTCAAATAGCTATTAAGAGCTATAAGCAAAACTTGAGAATTTGAAAATTAAATTTAGAATCTTATCTAAATAATTTTTACTTAAAAATTTCTTTTCTAAGTGGACTTATTTAATTTTTTCTTAATCCTTTTTGCTAAACTCTTGTACATGTGAAACTAGTTTCCGTCAAATCGGTCTCTTAGAGAAACACATAAAACTCAGATAACAAAAACCTTCAGTGCATTAAAATACTACAATTCACTACATAGTCATTTAAGATGTTATGCCAAATTAAGTGTGCTGAGACCATTAATGAAGTCTTCTATTTTTTTTTTAAATGTGCTGGTATTACTTAAAAACAGGATATGACAATTATGAGGTGATGATGATGTGTGGTGAAATATAGCATATAATTCTGCTGGTCATTACTAAAAAGTCCTGCTTAATAAGGCAAATACTAAAGATATCTATAATTACCATAAGATTAAATTATTGCTGAGGTATCTTGAAACACATTAAAAGGTGAATTCCAAGGTGTTAAAAACGTTTATACTACCAAAAACGAGTTTAACATAGTTCATAATAGTTTTTTTTAAAAAAAACACCATTCTTAAGCCTAAAATTTCTTTTTACTACAAGTTAATAATCTAAATTAAACAAGTTTTAAGGATATCTTTACTTCAGAGAAACATCAACTACTTTGGTCTTAGTATCTGTCCAAATGTCACCACTGTATTTAAGCACATTGGAACCGATCTGTACAAGTGCAATTTTTATTATGAAATCTTGAAAACTCCCCTAAATAACTATAAAAAGACATTAATATTTTGGAGATTTAAATAACTTGAATTTAAAAAATTTAATTTTAATAAAAATAATTCTACTCAAGGCAGCCTACCTACTAAATAATACCTGTTGATGGTAAAGAAATTTTGAAAGATCTGGGTGTATATAATCACAAGCTGCTGCTTAAGAAAATAAATAAAAATAAAAAATAAAAACCAAAGGGGAGTGGCAGGGAGAACAAATTTTTATTATTTCTCTTCCTCTGCTTATCCTTAACATACTGATATGCTGCTGCTTTCCCAGACACCCAGACCCTTCCATTGTCTAATAATAAAAATGTATTTAACCCTCTAAGAGTCAGTGCTAGCCTTTCACTACCAGATACTCACCGAGTTAGGGTAGTTCAAGTAGCAGATCTGACAAGGCATATCCTGTGCTGATGACCTTGTATTCATCTGGCGTGTTCGAGACTTTTTACTTGGATTAATTACATGACATTCAGCAAAGAGCTTCTCCAGGTTTCCATCAAAGTACCTGCATCATTTAAACAGAAAGGATGAGAGCCCAGCAATATCACACTATGAGAGCTCTCCAAAATCTGATTTTCTATAGGGGAAAGTAATGAACTTAAATCATTTACTCAGAGGTTTAGAAACATGAAAGTTGGCATAAGTTTCTGTGCTATTTTGCTCTCTAATTTGCTTTTATTCGTAAGTTATGCTGTTATTTTTATAGTCTTATAATAACTACAATTTAAAGCTGCAAGTTTTCCTATCTCTAATACCTAAAGAAGAGTAATGGTGCTTTTACTGTATGTGTGCGGTATTGTTGACTGAACCCTAGAAATCACACAGGTGAGAAAAGTACTCTCTGAACCACTGAACTATGTTCAGAATATATCAATAAACTTTGTTAAGAAGTCTAGTTGGGATGGGAAGGTAACAGAGGGTCTTGCATGTGCCGTAAGCAGGTTTGGTCCCTAGCATCGCAAGGTTTACTAAGCACTGCCTATGGTATCCCAGGGACTCCAGAGCATCCCTGTATCCTCAGGCTTCAATCATGGGGCCAAGAATCTCTGGGTGGGGACTACGGGCTCCTCACTACTGACTGACTGGGAGACTGCCAAAAAATAAAATTAAAATCCATGAAATGAAATAAATTACATGTGTTGCATTTAATGAATCTGTTTCCTCTCTATTCTTGTGAAATAATTTTAAAATTTAAAACTTAGATGTCTCACTATAAAAATAAATAAATCTCCCCGCAAAAAAATAAATAAAATTTAAAGCTTAAAATTTATCACCATGCTGATACCACTCTCCACACGCATGAAGGTACCAGCAGAGAAACAAAGGCATGCGGGTCCCAGGGCTGAGATCTCCAAGCCTGCTCAGATCGGGGCTGAGCATCCTCCACCCAGATCCTCCATATTCCAGTAAGCAGGGGTCACACCCACCAACTGGCCCCCTGGCGCCGTGTAATCCCATCAACGGCCAAGACTCAGAGACTATAAAACCCAGCTCCCGGAAGTACACGGCCCATCTTATTATCTCATTCTTACTTTAGACAAACTGGCAGGCTACCAAATGTAACCTGCCCACACAGCAGAGTCTGGCAAACTCCCCGTGGCGTACCCAATATGCCAAATACCAGTAACAATGATGGGTCTCATTCTCCTAACCCTGAAAGAGCCTTGAATATGGCACTTTTTTAAAAATTCTCAGGGCTAGGACGAAGGAGACGTTACTGGGGCCTGCTCAAGGCAATCGACGAATTTTAAAATTTATTAAGCAAGGAAATAAGAAAACAAGTACTTGAAAACATTTTTATATTATCTAGACTAAAAGTATATAATATACTGAATATTAAAACAGTGGTTGAACATGAAGATAACAACATAGTATAATCAAATCTAGAAAGTTTAATGAAGCCGCAAACTTCTTGACAGATATATTATGCAGCTTAACTTTCTATGACCCCATGTCTTCTGAAATCTCATAAGTCTTAAAAGAATCTATAAGTAAACGTATCCAGTAAAACTATCAGAGGTTGGTTAATTACTTTTTTGGGGTTGTTAATGGGAGTCACAGCAAGCAGTGCTTGGGGATTACGCCTGGCTCTGCAGTCAGGGAACAATGTGGGGTACCGGAGATTGAACATAGGTTGCTGTGTGCAAGGCAAGCCCCTAACCTGCACTATTATCTCTCCAGCCCCCACCAATTTCTTTTCCCCCCCTGCTTTGGGGGTCACACTTCTTTGTACTCAGAGATAACATATGGTGCTGGAGACTCTCCAAGAACTATGCTGTAAAGCTGAGGTTTCAACAACAACCTGGACTGGAGCAATAATACAGTGGAGGAGGGCATTTTCCTTGCCCGCAGCAGACCTGGGTTTGATCCCTGACATCCCATATGGTCCCCTGAGCACCGCGAGGAATAATTCCTGAGTGCACAACCAGGAGTAGCCCCTTAAAATCTCCGGGTGTGATCCAAAAAGCTAAACTCCCCCCTCCCAAAAAAAAACCAACTTTAACATTTTTTTTTTAAAAAAAAGGATACTGGAAGAGATTTCCAAAGCACTTACTTTTGAGCAATATACAGAAAATCACTAAAATGAGTGTTAAGAAACAGCTCTAAGAGTAAGTATCTGTTTAATAAATATTTTTTCACAGTACACTTTAATAATCAAATTATCCAAGCAAAATGCCAACACAATGTAAAAGGCATGTTTATATAAAGTAATCCATCCCTAATGATTCAAATAATCAAAATATTAAACATACAAATGCCTTCCTACAAATTTCATCTGAGAACCAATGTTTATCTGAAAGGCAGACATCATATGAAGCCAAAACACAATACTAGATAAAAAAAAAAAAATTAAACACCATTTTGCTGTAGATTTTACAGTGTAAGAGATTGAATCCAGGGTATTAAACATGCAAGGCAAGTCTTCCACTGCATCCTTGACCATAACCTGTTTTCATTTACAAAAAACAAAAGGGAGAGGGGAGAGCAGAGCAACAGTGCAGGGGTAAAGGCAATTTGCCCCTGCACAGGGTGGGCCTCAGATCAATGCCTGGCCTACATATGGTCCCCAGGCACTGGCAGGTTTGATCCCAGCACATCTCTGGGTGCGAGCTCTGGAGGCCCAAGAGCACCCAGAGGTAGCCCTCTGGGCTTGAGCAGCACCACATCCAAGGTCCCAACACTGAGCGGCTGCCTTGATGGCTACCTCCAGGAATGCCCAACCTTCCCATCCCCACCAGGGCCCCCCTAAACCCAACGCCAAAGCATGGGAATTTTTGTGTATTAAAATTAGTTCTCAATATTAGTGTTTCTCGTGTATTTTTCATGAATTTTAATGATCATTTATCTTTGAGATTTTTAAGATTTTCCTAAGGTGGGGCATGTGGCTCAAGTGAAGGAGCACATGGCACACATGTACAAGATTCTGCATTTTAACACTGGTGCTAAATGGTATCCCCACCCCAGCACAAGCAGGAGAGACCCCATGCTCTTCCCAGCACAGGCGGTGTGGCCCCATCACAACTAAAAAGGACTTCCCACCTGTCAAGTGGACCCGGAGTCTATTCTTTTTGCTTCCCTCAGTTTTCGGGTCACATGCCGTAGAGTTCAGGGTTTGCTCCTGGCGGGGCTCAGGTGACTACAGGGAGTGCTGGGGACTGAATCTGGGTGGGCACGGGCAAAGCAAGCGTCTTACCTGCTGTACTGCCTCTCTGGCCCCTGTGAATTTACAAATTTATCCCTACCCCCTCCCCATCAGGAAGTCGTTCCATACCAGGAAGTTCTTAAAAATTTTAAGATTATTATCCTCCCTCCAATGAGAAGAACTAGTAATACTTTTAAAACTATTTCACATTTAAAAGAAAACTATAAATTATGTGTTCTCTATACAAAACTACAGTGTCTTATTCATCGTCAAAAAAACCCTTTTGTGCCTGTTTTTGCTAATGACTTCCTTTAAAAATTATAAATTATTTTGATTTTTAGCTACTGGTCCTCTTGAAAGGTTTTCCTCATTAATTTGTCCAGGCAAGCTATCACATTTAACTGTTCCAGGTTAAACCAATGTAGAACTCATGGTATAAGTCTGAGTTGGTCATGTTGGACACTCTTTTTTGTGTACTGCTGAATGTAAATTGAAAATATTTGGGACTTTTTTTTTCTTGGTGTTTGCATGTACTTACAAAAGATGGGAACATGGAAATTATTGGGCTTTTAAAATCTGGCATTTTTGTCTTTCATCAGTCTGGAAAATTATCAATTACTGTACCTTCAACTATTGCCTCTGTCCCATTTTCTCTTCTCTAAGATTCACTAAAACTGATTCACAAAAATCTAAGAAACTTATCTTTGTATCTTCTATTATTTAACTTCCCTCTAAGTTCTTTCCAGTTTTTCATTTACCAACTTTATCTTTGTTGAATCACTATCGAACTAATTTCTCTGTTGGAGTATTGAATGTCTGTAACTATACTGATGAATAAAGTAAAAAGAAAAAAATCTATTGATTTAATTTGGCTTAGTTTGTTTATAGAAATTCTTCCCCCTCCTCCCCTGCCATAATCTGTGTGACTAGTCATACTTTCAGGTACCCTAGAGACACTATTCCACTTTACAGTAACATTTTAGTATGGAGTCCTAAGCTGGTATGCTTTAATTAGAAAATTAAATTGAAAAAAGAAGTTTGAGAGTTTATCATTCTTTTCCTGAAAAAGACTTAAATTTGCTTCCATGTTAAATGCCTTGAGATTATCTGCCCTACTCCTGTATGCTTGCCTTAGCCCCTCCCTGATGTTCTTGGCATTAAAAAGAAAATGCGATGTTTTAATATTGGTGCCAGAAAGAGTACAGCAGAACCTTGTCATGCATGAAGCAGACCCGATAGTAATTCCCAGCACCGCATATGGTCCCCCGAGCCATGAGAAAAGACCACTGAGAGCACAGACAGGAATAAACATTAGCTGACACACTAAATTACACCAACATTTTTTAATATATCTGGATTATTGTATGTTTAGCTGCTGGGGGTGGGAGATTAATGTTTAGGATTCCCTTTTCCTCCCTTTTAAGTAGGGGTTGGGGGTAGAAAAACTTGCGTCCCTGGGTGGGCTAGTACCACCAACCTTTCAGTTAACAGCCGAACGCACTAGCAAGCAAAAAAAAAAAAAAAAAAACACCCTCTTCCAAGATGATAAAGAGAAAGCACAAAAGTTAAGTTGCATGTCTTGCATGCAACCAATCCAAGTTTGGTCCCTGGCAATAATCAGTTCCCTGAATAACACCACATCCTCAGGCACTCGTATTAAACCACTGACCAAGTTGTTTGAGAATAGAGGGGAGGGGGTATGGATCCTGAGCACCACTTGAAATGTCCCATACTGCCTATAAAATTTTACATTAGTCTTCAGATCTCTTATCATATCACGTTACATTTCTCCCAAGATAATAATGCTCTGACATCAAATGTCAACATTAAAGTGCTCTCTAAAAGTAAAAACGTTCAAATAT